TGTGTGTGTGTGTGTGTGTGTGTGTGTGTGTGTGTGTGTGTGTGTGTGTGTGAAACAATCCTGTGGACTTCTCAGGTCCAGCTGTAATGAGGAAGCCATGCAGTTAGACGATGTTAGCCCTGGAAGAAATTAAGGATGGGGCTTAGGGACAGGAAAGCGAAGCCCACATTACAGAATAAATGATGACAGCATTCAGTATAAAACGTTTCTCTCCGAGGTCTTCAGGTAGTGAGCACTCCTGGCGGGACTGAACTTTTTCACAGTACATGTTTGTTTATGCCCCACTTCCCAGGAACACACCTTTCCCAGCAGGCGTGGCACACCTACATTTCCACCAGAAATGGGACAAGTTCTCGTGGAAACGCACTATTTTCACTCATGATTTTATCCTCACTTTTGTAGCAAACGGAGCAGCTGCCTTCAAACCAGAGCAATACTTTATCTTTGACAAGATCTCTTTCTGTTGTCCAGCTGGTGTCAACACGGATGGCTGCAGCTTCCGACGACACGACCCCAGCAAGTTTCCAGATGTGCTTGCTGAGCTGCTGTGTGCTGAGGGAGAAGAGCAGCCACCCAACCCAGGAGCTGTGCCCAGCCAGGTGCCCAGGCAGGTGCTGGATGTCCACCCAGAGCTGCTGCAGTCTGGGGCCGTCACCCTGCCAGGTGAGCATGGCTGTCTTACTCTGTTTGGGCTGCTATAACAAATGCCACAGACTGGGTTGCTTATAAAAACAGAAATTTACTTCTACAGTTCTGGAGGCTGAAAGTCTAAGATCAAGGTGCCAACATCATCAGGTTCTGGTGCGGGACCTCTTCCTGGTTCATAGTCGGCGCCTTTTCACTGTGTCCTCATGTGGTGGAAGGGGCAAGGGAGCCTTATGGGATCTCTTACAAGAGCACTGATCCCATTCACGAGGGCTCTGCCCTCATCACCTAAGCACCTCCCAAGGCCCCACTTCCTAACACCATCAATCAGGCATTAGGAATTGAACATGTGAATTTGGGGGAACACAAACATTCAGATGGTAACAGTAGCCATCACTCTCCCAGGTGCACATGGCCTGCACTTGCCCAGGTAAGTGCCAGGCTCTCCTCTCTTGGCAGATCTCACATCTAAGCCAATAACAGTTTGCAGACTCTAGCTCACTATTTCTCAGGCTTGAAGCCATGTGTGTCCCCACTGGAGCTGCCCCTTTCACAATGCCCTCTATTTCTGCAGGGACCCGAGACCGCCAAGGGAGAGCAGTAGTGCAGGTCTGCACGAGGGGCCCACTCTGGTCCAGCCAACACATGTCCAGTGCCGAGCTGACCTGCCTGCTGAAATACCTCCATGGCATTCCCAGGTAGGACAGCAGGTTTCCACCTTTCAGATCCCTCTGGGGATAAATCCGTGTGAGCATGTGTCCTCATGAGAGGGTTTTTGTCTCTCGCCTCCGGGACCCTTGTGACATGGGTAGCACACTCTCGCCTGCTCCTCAGCTTCCTGCCGTCTGGCTCCTCTCTGTGCCAAGCCCCATCTCCCACCTCTCCCCTTCCCCACCCATCATTCCCCTCTGCTCACCCTGCCTCTCCCCCTGAACCAAGGCTCTGCCACACACTCAACCCCTGAACTCTGCTTTGCTCTGCACTGTTCAGTACTCACTGTTAAGCGTTCTTTATTTACATGTTTCATACTCCACCTTTTTCTAAAACACACTTGAAGTGGCCTTGGATAAAGACATGAACTGATATGAAGATAATATTTAGAAGAAACAGGTGAAGAAATCATTCAAATGGGAAGAACCTGGTACTAGGAAGCAGGAAAGACCAACTCATGCTAGTTGAACTTTATGTTCAGCCAGGCAATGCCATGGGCCAGAAAGAAAGTGTGCAGCTCCTCAAGAGAGACACATCCTCCTGACAGGATTCTCAGAGGACCAGGCCTCCTGGATCCTGCGTAAGGACAACCGTATGGAGCAGGTCTGCCTAGAAAGCAGCCATGTTTGGGGGACCTTCTCTGGGGCTGTGGTTTCAGGTCTCTCTGTGGACCAAGGACAGAGACAGGAAAGCTGGAGTCCAGGGTCATTGAAGTGCATTATTTAGGGCCTCTCGATCTCATCAGATACAAACACACTTTGGATAGTCCTCACGGCTGCCATCCACAGAGTACCCCTGTGGTGCCAGGTGTAAGCACCCCCCGGAGGAGGATGAGCTCAGTCATGAGGTCACATGGCCCGTCTCCGAATCCTGGCATTGAAATTTTTGGGTGGGCACGTGGTGTACCTCAGCATAAAACGGGATGGTGACAGCTGTCTCAGAGGTGTGTCAGAGGGTTAGAAGTAATCTCCCTGAAGTACCTGGACTGAAGTCCAGAGCATCATCTTCCATCACATCATGTCACATCACATCACAGCAGTTACATGGCACACATCATGTGATGTGATCTCATGTGAGAATGTGCCATGTGACACGTGTGAGCTCATGTGGGCACATGTTATATGGCACAAGGTCATGTGATGTGAGAACATTATCACATCACATGATGTGAGCTCATGTGGGCACATGTCACGTGGTGCATCATCACATGTGATCTCATGTTCTTTGCAATGTATCAGCTTTCTATTTTAATTTCTTCTGAAACAGTATAGGTAGGGTCAGTGCGGGAACATGCAGGCAGAAAAGGAATTAAAATGTTCTCCCTAACACTCCTTTCACAGGCAGGTTTCCCAGTTGTCTGCAGGGTACTAGTTTCCCTGTCTTTTGGGGAGCCTGGGATTTCAAGTTTGTCCTTCAGCAAAGATTTCAATATATTGAAACTACACTGGAAAAGAATAGTTTCAGCCCTGGCCGGTTTGTCTGAATGGTTAGAGTGTCGACCCACAGACTGAAGGGTCCCGGGTTCGATTCCAGCCAAGGGCACATCCTGCAGTTGCAGGCTCAATCCCCGGCCTGGTCGGGGCACAATTGGGAGGCAGCCAATAGCTGTGTCTCTCTCACATTGATGTTTCTCCNCAGGCTCAATCCCCGGCCTGGTCGGGGCACAATTGGGAGGCAGCCAATAGGTGTGTCTCTCTCACATTGATGTTTCTCCCTCTCTCTCCCTNAGGTCTGCCTAGAAAGCAGCCATGTTTGGGGGACCTTCTCTGGGGCTGTGGTTTCAGGTCTCTCTGTGGACCAAGGACAGAGACAGGAAAGCTGGAGTCCAGGGTCATTGAAGTGCATTATTTAGGGCCTCTCGATCTCATCAGATACAAACACACTTTGGATAGTCCTCACGGCTGCCATCCACAGAGTACCCCTGTGGTGCCAGGTGTAAGCACCCCCCGGAGGAGGATGAGCTCAGTCATGAGGTCACATGGCCCGTCTCCGAATCCTGGCATTGAAATTTTTGGGTGGGCACGTGGTGTACCTCAGCATAAAACGGGATGGTGACAGCTGTCTCAGAGGTGTGTCAGAGGGTTAGAAGTAATCTCCCTGAAGTACCTGGACTGAAGTCCAGAGCATCATCTTCCATCACATCATGTCACATCACATCACAGCAGTTACATGGCACACATCATGTGATGTGATCTCATGTGAGAATGTGCCATGTGACACGTGTGAGCTCATGTGGGCACATGTTATATGGCACAAGGTCATGTGATGTGAGAACATTATCACATCACATGATGTGAGCTCATGTGGGCACATGTCACGTGGTGCATCATCACATGTGATCTCATGTTCTTTGCAATGTATCAGCTTTCTATTTTAATTTCTTCTGAAACAGTATAGGTAGGGTCAGTGCGGGAACATGCAGGCAGAAAAGGAATTAAAATGTTCTCCCTAACACTCCTTTCACAGGCAGGTTTCCCAGTTGTCTGCAGGGTACTAGTTTCCCTGTCTTTTGGGGAGCCTGGGATTTCAAGTTTGTCCTTCAGCAAAGATTTCAATATATTGAAACTACACTGGAAAAGAATAGTTTCAGCCCTGGCCGGTTTGTCTGAATGGTTAGAGTGTCGACCCACAGACTGAAGGGTCCCGGGTTCGATTCCAGCCAAGGGCACATCCTGCAGTTGCAGGCTCAATCCCCGGCCTGGTCGGGGCACAATTGGGAGGCAGCCAATAGGTGTGTCTCTCTCACATTGATGTTTCTCCCTCTCTCTCCCTCTTCCACTCTCTCTAAAAAGCAATGGAAAAAATATTCTCAGGTGAGGGTTAAAAATATATTTTTTTAAATAAAAATAAAAAAGAATAGTTTCAGTCTCACATTAGTTTATACCTTGTAAGACTCAGGTAAACACTGTCAAAGCCTTCAGATAATGACATTTTCTATTAAAGAAGCTTTCTCTAATGGGAGCTGCAGTGGAGAGCTGTGCACTTTTAGAGTACACGGCCTTCTGCATCCTTAGCCTCACATAGCTGGCAAGTGGTGCTGTGTTCTCCATTGTACAATGAAGCATCTGCGAGTCGAGGCTGAGGGTACTTGTGGGGTCAGCAGGACCAGGACTTGAACCTGGAACTCATCCCTCTGCTTTTTCTGCCTTGCCACAGCAAATTCAGACAGCCCAAGCCTCCTCTCCAGAGACAGCATCTTCACCAGCCCACGGTGCTCTGGGAGAAAGCCTCTGTTGGGGACCATTCCTAAATTATTTAAAACAAACTCATTCTGGGGTCTCAGGGTTTGGCTGGTTATTTCCCTACAAACGCTGTAATTTTGTTAGCATCCTGGTCGAGTATTGCACCTTGAGAAGCTGAAATCCACTCACTGTCATGGGATGTAGCACATGCCTTCAGCTCTCTGAATGGGGTACCTGAGATGTCAGCATTATTAGGAAAAGCATCCAGCAGTATCTTGTTGCTGCAGGTGTGTTACAAGGAGCCACAAGGTCTGTGGGCGTGCCTTATAAATGCACTACCATCAGACTATTAGATACACAAAAATTTTAGAATTAGGATGTTGGCTGTCATTCATCTGACCTGTGCATCCATCCATCCATCTAACACTTACCTGGGAATACAAAAGAAAATAGGACATGGTTCCTGCCCTCAAGGAGACACACATGGGAACCCAGTTTACTGCAGCCCCCAGCATAAGACAAGTCCACAGTGCGGGGAAGGCGCTGCATTCTCAGCCACGGGAGGGGACTTCCTGATGTGCTCTGTGTCCTGGAGGAGGGTGAGTACAGACAAGAAGAGAAGAACCCTCTGGGTAGAAGGAAGAGCGCACACAGCCCCAGGGCAGTCGTTCATTTCCTGGTGGCACTGAGAGGCAGGAGAATGAGGATGGGGGCAGTGTGACGGGTGAGGCCCGCCTTTGCCAGAGGAGCATGCTGACCTCAGCATGCAGTGGATGGAGGGGCCAGAGTGGTGGCCTGAAGACAGTTCTGAGACTTTGGCAGCTCCCCTTGCCTAGAGATGCTGACAGACATGACTGGTCCGTCACATTGAGGCCTGATTGCCTGCTTCCAACTGTAAGCAGCTTGATTCCTCAGGAGGCAGAAGGTTGATGTGTATAAAGTCAAGACTCCTGAGTTCTAGAGACGGGAAGATCTGGGTGAGGATGTCTCATTGAGAGATGGAGAAACTCATCCAGAAGAGATTTAACCTGCAGTGGTTAACACCACCTTTCTTTCTCTTTCCAGGAAGGAGGTGCGGGACCTGGGGCTGGTCATCCTGGTGGATGCACGTAAGAGTCCGGCCATCCCTGCCCTTTCTCAGGCCCTGACAGCTCTGCAGGTAAGTTGGGGTCACTGCTGTCCTCAGTGCCTGAGCATCTCAGGGCTGTGTGGGCTGAGCACAGAGGACTCTTGGAAGGAGTGTCTGGCCCATCCCCCATTCATCAATGCAAACCTTAACAGCAGTGCCAGCAGGATCAGCCTGTGCAGGTGGTGTGGTGTCATGCCCTGTCTCAGCGGGAATGGTAACGACCCCTTCCTTCATAGCATGTCCATATCAAACATCTGGCTAAATCGGGGTGCAGGGGTATGCACTCTACCAAACAGGGAAGGAGGCATGGAAGGGCAGCCACTACTTGCTGTGAGAGTGAAGGCCCTGGACCTTGGGTGCCCAGGACTTCTGAGAGCCCTCTGGGATGGGTTCAAGGGAGGTTGTCCAGCAAGTTTGCCCCAGGAAGATCCCCCTCTGGATTCTGGTTCATGAGTAAAATCCAGAGAGAACTGGGGAGTCCCTGGAATTGGGATAAAGGCACCACTGGAATGTTCCAGGGACCCAGGGCCAGACAGGAGCCTGAGAACATCAGTCTCCTTCAGACATGTGTACACAGGGCCCCTTGTGTGCCAAGTGCTGTGCAGGGGTCTGGGGTGTCAGAGGCATCTGGAAGCTTCTCTAGCTGCCCCAGCTACTCCTGGGCTAAAATCTGTGTCCTGTGTTCCATCTCTGCTAAAGGTGCAGAGATAGAACAAGTCTCTGTTCTCACCCAGGTTCTTAAGTTTAGGAACACCAAATGGAAATTCTTCCCAGGAAAGACTCAGGGTCAAAGGCTGGGGCAAGTATAAATGCAAATGTTGGGACCCAGGAGGCCAGGCTGAGACCTGGGGAGATGATGAAAACCTCCAGGCAGGAGACAAGAGGCCTGGAGCCGAGGCCAGGCAGTAGGGTGGATGGGTTAGCAGGAGCAGCGACCCTGGTTCGGAGACCTGGGCAGTGGTGCTGCTTCTGGCCTGACACAGGAATAAAAGCCAGGGAGCAGATTCTGGGTGTGGAAATAAGGCTATGGGCCACCAGCACTGCTGAAACATCTCAGAGCAAACCTCATGGGTGATGTCTTCATTTCAGAGGAGTGTACATGCTCAGTTTTAGCTTTTTGCAAAAAAGGTTCACCTTGCATTCCTTTAAAGCCCGAGTTATCTCCTTTGACACAGCAACAGGTTTGACGTGCCAAAATTCAGTTTCTGTAAGACATTTCAGAAGCACATAATCTCCTATTTTCATAACACCTACTGTCAACCAGCTGTTGGGTTCAAAAGTCGGAGACCAGGATGTCATCCAATTTTGTGCTCATATTCTGTTCAAGACTCGGCAATTCCTTTGAGATTGTGGTCTTTCTTAATTACATGCGATTCTACATAACAGTAAAGCCTGAGAAATTGCCAAGTAAAGTTTTTTAAGAAAATAGGTAGATGAGTGCTTTTCAGAAAGATTTTGAGGGAAGTTCTGTTTAAAGATGTAAGGGAAGTATTGACAACCCTAAGATTTTCTGAGTCCTTTGATTTTACTAAAAGATTGTTAATCTGAATTTCCTGGATGGCTGTAATTGAACTGGACAATAAGGGAACATCTGTTACTATCTCAGAAATGCATGTCTCTCAAGTTAGTGGTTGAAGCAGGTATGCCTCAGGTAATAACATCATTGGCACCCATATAAGTAGCAACTTGAGAGAAAAACAACTTTTCTTTGCCTCCAAAACCAAGCTTCTCAAAAAACAGTTACTAAAATGAAAACGCAAGCTATGGACTATGAAAAAACACATATCCGATAAAGGACTTGTACCCAGAATATATAGTCTCAAAACTCAATAATAAGAAACAACGCACTAAAAGATGGGCAAAAGATTTGAACATACTTCACCAAAGAGGATATATGAATAGCAAATAAGCACATGAAAATATATTCAACATCACTAGTCATTGGAGAACTGCAACTTAAAACCAAAACGAGATAACAGACGTACCACAACAACAAAACCTGACAAGAGCAAGTACTTGGCATTGCCGGTGGAAATGCAGAGTGGTCCAGCCACTCTGGAAAACAATGGGCTGTTTCTTCAGAAGTTGAACATAACTTATCATAGGACCTAGCAATCCCACTGCTAGCTATTTACCCAAGAGAAATGAAAACTTACGTTCACACTGTGTTTATAGTAGCTTTACTTATGATTGCCAAAAGCTAGGAACAATCCAGTGTCCTTCAGCTAGTGAATGGAACAACTGTTGTGCCTTCATGCAGTGGAACACTACTCAACAATAAAAAAGGGTGAACTGCTGATATTCACAACATGAGTGAATTTCAAATGTACCCTAGTACATTCCTCCTAAGTGAAGGAAGCCAATACTGTGTGATTCCATTAATATAACTGGAAAAGGCAAATTTATTGAGACAGAAAACAGATCAGTAGTTGCCAGGGGCTGGGGGGAAGGACTTGACTACAAAGAAGCATGAGGAAAACTTTTGGGATGCTAAACTGTTCTATATCTTCATAGTGGTGGTGATTATATGACTGTAAGTTATGTCAAAACTTAAAGAACTATACACTAGCAAAGGTGAATGTTATTATATATAAATTACAGCCAGTAAACCTGATTACATTAAATAATTCATAAGGGCTAGTAATTTACATTTAGAGCAAAGGCATTTTATGCATTCTAGGTATTTTGGGGAAATATCAAAGTGGAAGTAGCACCAATCAAAATTGGACAATTCTATTAACTCAATGAAGTTAAAAATTAGAAAGCTAATTAATACTTTTTACTTATTTTAGAACACATCTACCCCCATAATTTATACCATTTTGCTGTTGGTGGATAAAGAATCGGCATTTAGGCCTGACAAGGATGCAACAATTCAGGTAATGGTTTTAGACCCTCAGCGTTGGATATGACTTTGAGTGATGCATAACATTAAATGTTAAGGCACACCCAGATGAGATAAAACATGAAAGAATTTATGTAAGTGTTGGTCTCACCCACAAAGAAGCCTGGAGGCCTGTGTCTGACCCTTCAGTTCTTGCAGGAGCTGTGCAGAGCATAACGTCAGAACACTTTGAAACTCTGATCTTCTCTACCTCAGTTTTCTTTTCCTCTTTTTCTTCTTCTTTCTTTTTTATCGGCAAACTTCTTTATTTTGCTTTCTTTCTTGAAGGATATTTTCACGTGATATAGAATTTTGGCTTCACAGTAGTTTTTCTGTTTGTTTCTTTGTTTCTTTGTTTTTACAGCACTTTAAAGATGTTGCCCTGTTGTTTTCTGGCCTATTTTCTGATGAAAAATTCATAGTAATTCAAGTAATTGTTCATCTATAGGAAATGTCATTTTCTTCTGGCTACTTTCAAGATTTTCTCTTTCTTTTCAGCAAATTGACTCTAATGTGACTAGGTGTGGTTTTCTTCATATTTATCCTGTTAGGTATGGCTGAAATTTTATGTCTATCTCCAAATTTACAAAGATTTCAGTCATTATTTCTTGAAATGCTTTTTCTGCTTAATCAAGGCAATCCTCTCTTTCTAGGATTTCAATTATACATACTGATGTCATCTCATAGATGTCATCTCATACTGATATCATCTCTTCTTCATATCAGATTGTTTCCACTGATCTATCTTCAAGGTCGCTGATTCCATACTCTCATCTCCAGTCAGCTATTAATCCCATCTAGTGAATTTTTTAGTTCAGGTATTGTATTTTTCAGCTATAAAATTTCCAGTGGGTTTTAAAATATATTTTCTGTGTCTCTGCTGAGATTTTGTATCCTCTCATTAATTGCAAGCATTTTTCCTTTGCATCGTTGAGCATAATTATAGTAGTTGCTTTAAAGTACTTATCCAGTAATTCCAACATCTGTGTCTTCTCTGGGTTGAACTCTGTTGATTATCTTTTCCTTTGAGAATGAGTCCCATTTTCCTGAGTCTTCATGTGTCAAGTAATTTTGGATGGTATTCTAGACATTGTGGAAAATTCTGTTGTAAAGACTCTGGATTCTGTTATAAACCTCCATACAGTTCTATTTTAGCATGAATTTAATTTGGTTAGACTCAAACTGAAAACCATCCCTGGTTCCTTCATCCAGGTTTCAGGTACTCACAATAAGCCCAGCTTTATTCCCCTCTCAGAGCTTTCAGACTGTTATCATTGCACTTTGTTCAGAGTTTGTGGTTTTGTCTGAGAAGGGTCAACTCTGCCATACCAAGTAGCACATCCGCACTTCCTTCCTCACTTTTTCTTTCCTCTTCCTGCCTTTTCCCTTCTCCCCTTATCATCTTGCCCCTGCTTCCTTCCCAGTCTTTTCCTCTTTTTGTCTTTCCTTAATTGGGGTGTTTCCTTCATTTCTCATTGCTACCCTCTCCTTTCATTTCTTCTTACCTTTATTCCTGTGTGCAGCCACATGCAATCCGTTAATGCCTCCTGCAAGGCAGCATAGCTGAACCCATCAATAGCAGCTCTCCCAGGAATGACCCATTCCACCAGTGTTTCCCTCTCCTTGGCAGTGTGAGGTGGTGGGCTCCCTGAAGGCCCTGCACAAGTTTGTTGACAGCTCTCAGCTGACTGCAGAACTCGAAGGCTCCTTTCCCTACAGCCACAGTGACTGGATCTGCTTCCGTAGGGTAAGGAGCAGCTCACAGCAGCTGCATGTGCCACAGTTACCAGGGGACTTCTCCTAATGGATGTTTTTACTCAAACCTGAAAGGGCATCACCATCCTTGGCCTCACATCTTTCACAGTTGCCATTTGTAGACTGTTTCTAACAACTGTGCTGCAAGGGCTTAAACCTTGCTGACTGTCTATTTTGAGCCAGAACTCACCTGGGTGGCCAGCTACTCTGGTTAGCAAGGTGTTTAAAATTACTTAAATTAATGTAAGTGTAGACAAGAGTTATCTCGTGACCCTCAGCAACGTTCGGACATGGAAACGTGTATACTTGTGACCAGTCAGCAAGGTGTTTAAGAATGCCAGTGAAATCCAGCCCTGGGTGGGGAGGGAGCTGCTCCCCTGCTTCTGAGACACCCAGAGATTGCTGGGTGACACCATAACAGGCTTACTACCTGAGATCAGTTTAAATGTGGGAACTCACAGCTGCTTACTTCAGTGTCTGACAGAATGTGTCTTTATTGTGTCATCCTCTCAACTACAATAGAAACTGGAGCCCTTTACCATAAACTGCCAGGACGCCATTGCTCTCTTACAAAATTTAGTCGGCTCCCTGAACACCCACAGGATCCTAAGCACGGCACAGGTGGGTCCTGGGTATTTTATTTTATTTGACAGGTGGAAACATAGAAGTTTAGCCAAAACTTGAAAATTAATATTTGGTTTCACCATCATCCATAACAGAGATTCTCAGACCTTTTGGATTTGTAGATCCTTTTCAGTTAGCAAATGACTTCCAAAGGACCACTTCCTCCCCCCTTGTGACCAAAAAGAAAAAATCCCACCCTGCCTAAAAGAGAAACAACACCCCTACATTTGATGCTATGCCAGCAAGTGAGTGCTGTTGGGAGCAAGCACTTCAAACACAATACAGAGAAGGGCTGGCTGGAAGGACCTGTGATAACCTGGAGACGCCTCATGGGTGCCCAGGGTGTGCTAGCCCCAGACACCAGGTTTTACTGCTGAGTTTCAGCTTCCCTGTGCCCCTGCCCGGGAAGCTCAATCTCAGACTTCCCTCCCCTGGGTGAGGCATCTGCAATCTGCTCCCACCCTCCTGCTAGGACCAGGTGGTGGATGTGGCCATCCCTCCATGCTTCAGCTTGATTGATGAAAGCCCAGTGCGGTCACACCTAATTCCTACCCAGCATTAGACCTGGGAGGACCTGCCTGGAGGAGGGGGTTCTATGCACATTCCTCCCAACCCCGCAGGAGGTCACAGAGTTAATCAGTGAGCACAAGGCCATAATGAAGCGAGTCCTGGAAGACCCACTGCTGGTCTCCCTGCGCCTGGAAGGTGGCACTGTGCTGGCACAGCTAAGGAGGAAAGAGCAAGCGACCAGCGAAGACGGCCGGTGAGTGTCAACGCTGGGGCAGGTTGGGGTGAAGCACAGCATTTAGCCCCACAGGGGAAGCCTTGCTCCGTCATAGGCAGCATCTCCAAGAACGTCTCCCAGCCAGACCTCCATTCCTCTGACAGACATACTTGACTGGACCAGAGTTTTTCTCATTCAAGGACTCCAAGGAAAACTAGCTGATTCCTTGGAGTGCTCAAGTGGAAGACAAAACTCATCATAGTGGGATTCAGCAGTCAGAGGGCCTGACGGCGTGCTTCCTCTGTCCTGGGGTTCTGCATCCACCCACCCACATTTCAGTCCCACCTCTGAGGTGCTTGCATACATGTGGCCAGCAGGTGTCACCACTTATGGGCCCGTTCAAGTTCCTGCTCTGGCCATGGACCCCATCTGGGGCTTCCATTTCTGTCAGACGTGAAGGACATACGAAGAGTGCAGTTGTGTTTTTTAAGTAGGTTGTCACCAACAGCATATTTCTAAGGGGACGGCCTGTGAGCAAACCAGTGATCAAGACACAACACCAGACCAGCTGCCTTCTCTTCCAGAGACAGCATTGAGGCTGCCTCCCGGCTGTACAACCAAGTGGATGAAGCGGTCCATAGGCTGGTCCTCACCTCCAACAGGTGTCTACAGGAGCTGGAGAGTCTCCGGGAACTGAGAACACTCCAGGAGGAAGGTGAACAGGTCAGTGCTCCGGGAGGGGGGTAACCAGGTCAATGCTCCAGGAAGGAGGTGACCAGGTTAATGCTCTAGTCAGAGGAGCCAAATGGGAAAAATATTTTAAAACTTGCCTCTTGAAATAACCAGTGTTAACACTCAGTATGTTATAACCCAGACTTTCCCTCCTAAATGCATGCATATTAATGCTTTTCAAAAGCTTAGTCATGTGCCGCTTAGTGACAAGGATGCATTCTGAGAAATGCATGGTGAGGCAATTTCGTCGTTGTGAGAGTATCACAGAGGCACTTACACAGACCTGGGTGCACAGCCCACTGCACACCTAGCCTGTGTGGTACAGCCTCGTGCTCCTGGGCTACCAGCCTGTACAGCCTGTTACTGTGCAATACAACACGAGATAAAATCATGATTAAAGTATAGTATGGTAAATACCTAAACCAGTAACATAGTTGTTTATTATTATCAAGTATTATGTACTGTACATAACTGTATGTGCTACACTTTTATACTCCTGTCAGCTCAGTGGGTTTGTTTACAACAGCATCAGCACAAACACACGAGGAATGCGTTGTGGTAGGACGTTACCATGGCTAGGACAACACTAGGCAACAGCTCCATTGTAATCTTAGGGGACCACTATCATATATGCAGTCTGTTGGTGACTGAAACGTCATTATGCTGCACTTGACTACATGATTTTAAGTAAAATCATTATTTTATCAACCACTATTTCCATGTAAATAATGTGAAGACAAAGAGCCTGCACAGCCAGGTATGTAGGGCAAGGTGAAGAGTGACTGGAAGTTGTCTCTGGATCCTCGAGTTGTCAGATCACCTTAGGGCAGTCAGGGTGGGAGGATCGCCACTGGCAGGGGGTCCCCAGGGTGGCCAGCAGGCATGGCGAGGTGTGGATACTGTATTTTCCCCTCCCTGGTCTCCCCACAACCAACCGCAGCTCCAGCCATTGGCCAGTGGGGGGAAGGGTCAGGGTCAGGAGACCATCAGCACATCCAGGGCAAGCAGGTACAGCTGGAGGTGAGGCAGCTTGCCAGGTGCCTTGGTGGTGGCAGCCCAGTGCGTGGCTGACTTGGGACACCCCAAGCTGAAGGGGCTGCCCTGCTTGGGGTCACCTCTGGCCTGTGGGACGTCCTGTGGAGTCTCCTCTTCCTCCTTTTCCTCCATCCTCTGGGGTATCCTCTCTGTCCTGTGGGGACTGCTATTTCCCATATGCCAAATTTTCTTCTTTCTTCTTGTTTCTGTTGTTTTGAGCAGAATACCCACCAGAACTTTCCAGAGAAAGGCATGGTGGGATGCAGATTTCTGAGATCTTGCATATATGACAATGTGTTTTCCCGCCTTCACATTTCATGGTAGCTTTAATTTCCTTCCTGAATTTTGGAGGCACCATTTCATGTCTTTTAGCTTCATGCATTACAGTGGAGGAGTCCTTCTCTATTCTGCTCTTGACCTTGGCCTGGGCCCTGTTTTATCTCATTGGATGCCTGTTTACCTCTGGTCTCAGGGCACTTTGGCCCCAGTGACTGCTGGGCTGGAGGTTCCTCCTTTGGCCAGCGTGTGTCTCTGCTCTGGGATCTACTGTTGTCTTTGATAAGCTTTCCGGTTTTCTAGAATTCCACACTTCCAGCTGGTTCACTAATTTTTTTTCCTGTTTTGTTTTCCATATCATTGACTTTTTTGCTCTATTTTCAGTGTAGATTTTCTCAACTTTACCTTCCAACCTCATGTGAGTGTTTTTGCCTCTGCTATAACATTTTTTTAAAAAATATATCTCTTTATTGATTTCAGAGAGTGGAAAGGAGAGAGAGATAGAAACATTAATGATTAGAGAGTCATTGATTGGCTGCCTCCTGTACGCCCCTCACCGAGGACCGAGCCCGCAACCTGGGCATGTGCCCTGACCGGGAATCAAACCGCAATTTTCTGGATTGTAGGTTGATGCCCAACCGCTGAACCACACCAGCTGGACTCTGCTATAACATTTTCCATTTCCATGGAATTTTGGTTTTTTTCTGAATGTCCCTTCTTGATGGTGCCCTGCTGGACGTGCTCTCCCTGTCTCTCCACAGCCACCCCTCAGCCTCACGACCCACCCACAGTCTGTCCCTTTTTCCCAGCCCCACTGCTCCCCCAATTTCTGTGCCTCAAAGGAGTTTGCTAAAGCTTTGATGGTGTTTCATGAGGGAGCAAAATTAGATATATCTTAATCTGCCTTCTTTACCCAAAATGAGATACATTTTGACCTAAAAATAGGATCATTCTACATACAGTGTATTTAATTTTTTTAACCTAAGAAATGCATTAACACTATGGAAGAATTAGAAAAGAAATATTTTTTATGAAAGTGTGATCATGGCCTTGGCGGGTGTGGCTTAGTGGTTTGGAGCATCATCCTGTACACCTGCAGGTCATGGGTTTGGCTTCCAGTCAGGGTGTGTATGGGGTGCGGAGTGGGGGGACAACCGATGTTTCTCACGTCGATGCTTTTCTCTCTCTCTCTTACCTTCTCTCTAAAAATCATTTATATATATATCATATATATCTCTCCATCCATCCATCCTTGGGTAAGGATTTTTTTTAAAGTGTGATCATGCTGCGTGCAGCTGCCTCCAACTTGTGTTGCCTGGTGGACTGTGTACCCAGCACCCCTGAGCAGCCTGCACCCCCTAGGCTCTGTCCTGCTTTTTGCTACTATAAACATCACTATGCCTTCCTCTCTTACCCTTTGTGATCGTTCATTGTGACAGATTCCTCGGCTCAGGATGGCAGGGCTGGAGCTCAGTTTTTACACATTTAGCAAGTGGCCCAAGTCAGCCTGCCCAGCTTGGATTATCACCTCGCTCATCTGATGAGTGGAAGTTCAGGATTCACCAATATTTGCATTTGGGATTTTATGCTGCAATTGAACTTTGTCTTCATACATTTCTTGGTTATTTTTATTCTCTAATAAGTTATATTTTCTTGTACTTGGTCAATTTCTCTACTGTTTGCAATAGCTTCATTTTATCACTTCTACTGATCCTTTGATTATGTTGTAAATAATTTCCCCCCGTTTGTCATTTGTCCTTCAACTTTATGATTTAAATGGCCTTTTCTACTTTAAGTTACAGAATGACTACTATATTCCGTCATAAGACCTTTTATGGTTTGAATTTTCTCTTTTAAATCTTCAAACCAACTACAATTTTTCACAAAGTTGGAGGGGCACGCTACCTCTGAGAGGCCTCCACCCTGCTGGCCATTTCCTGTTCCTCCACCTGGCAGCTCTGACATCACCAGTGCTTCCTTATAAAAATCTTATCTTGATATTTTTCTCCATGACACTGTCCACAAAGAATGTACACTCTAATCTCTCTCCTCTGCCTGTACATCTGAGATCACTAAACCCAATCCTTGCAGTCATAGGTGCAGCCCGACTGCACTGTTTTTAATAATAGACCTCTCTTCTTGGGCACCCAACAGCCAGGGGTCCCTGGCATTCCTCTCCAACGAGAACTGTGCATGAAAAATAAGCATTTCCCTATGACATGCTTAGTATGAACCGAATGATATTGCTACAGAATTTGTCCTTAAAATGAGAACCTGGACCTCTCACACTGTGAGGTACAGGCAGGGCTGCCATTGGCTTCTCAGTCACTCCCAGGCAGCCCCTGGGTGTCCAAGTGCCACCAGCCTGAAGAATATTTCTGGGGTATATTTAGCATAGTAAGAAGTTTCAAAACTGAAAGTTCTGGATTTATTTTTCAATGATCTCAGTTTCCATTTCCAAACAGTGAAAATAGTTATAAACTTGAGCCTGCATTGTGGCTCCTGCTGCTCTGTAGTTACTGACAACATGTTCAAGGGAGATGCAGCGTTTGCATCAGGACAAGGAGTGTCATCTGCCTGAACGAGTGAGCCAGCCCCTGAGCAACTTCTGGCTCCTCCTTCGCCCTCCACAGTCTTAGAGCCAGACTCCTTCACACGTTTAATAATAGTAAAACCTTCTTTTCCCATGTAGATCAAATCATGGTTTGAAAAAGAGCAAGAGAAATTCCTGAGCCCCTTGGAGCTGCTCTCTGTTGAGAACGGGAAGCTGCAGCAGCAGGAGCTGCAAGCCAGGCAGCCCAGGCCCACGGTGGGTGCAGTCCAGCCCTCGCTCCGAAACCCCAGAGTAAGTGCCCAGCTTGTGCTGATGGTTGATTCCTTGGGCTACAGCAGTGTTGTCAGAAAGGACCACAGCTGATGGAAGAGAACAACTCGAAGGACACAGAGGAAATAGTACGGGATGTCGGGAGGTGTCTGAGCGCCACAGCTGGCCAGGCTGAGTGGAAGGAGGGAGAGCTGGCCCAGTGGGTCCTCCAGTCCCCGTTCTCCGAGCCGGTAAGAGACCCAGCGGAATCTCAAGGACCTGCATGTGCTGCCCTTGTCCTTTACTTTCAGACATTTAGTGAGTGCTGTCCCCGTGCAGGTCTGGGTGGGCCAAGCACTGGGCCAGCTGGCCAGCACTCCTGTCAGACCACGTCCCAGCGCAGGGCAGGGCAGGGGTAGGAGGTCTCTATCCACTGTCACGGCCTCTCAGGCTCCCACACCAGGCAGAGGTGTGGAATAACTGATTTCACAGACATCTCATGGTCCTGGGACACCCTTCATGGTGCCCTTGGGGACCGTGGAGGACTTGTCTGCCCTTTGGGTGAGTCTGGACAGCAGCTGTCCCCTGGGTGTTCCTCTCACTCCGGCCATCTGGCTCACCCTGGTCCTTGATTTGGGTGCCTGGATAGCAGAACAAGTGTGACCTGAGTTCACTCAAGCTACTCACTTGCCACATAACATTCGGTGGGGCCTGCATAGCCATCGGGCCATGCGAGTCCCTAACTGTACTGATCAGCGCCCTCCTTTGCTGCACAGGTGAACAAGAGGACACTGCGTTGCAGTGAGTGCCTGGAACCCCTGGGCCCAGAGCTGGTTGCTGAGTATTTGAAGAGCTGTCACCAGGATGCCGTGGAGGTGTCTGCGAGCTTGGGGGTATTGGGCCTGGGTGGCCAGCAGGCGCTGGAGCAGTGGCATGCCTTGTGGCTCCAGTGCCAGCAGACCCGACTCTGCTCCCAGGAGGCCCTTTCTGAGGCTGCCTCGGGCCCCAGTGCCCTGCCTCCGGAGCAGAGACCCTTGAAGCTTGAGCTTGTCCAGGGGGCCGAGATGAGGCACCGTGAGACATCCTGGATCCCCCCCACTGACCCCGAGGGCTGTGCTGGGGAGCGGACACAACTGCTATCCAGCCTCCCCGGACAAGTCGCTCTGTGTGGGCAGGAGGGTGAGCACCTGGACCCAGGTGTGCATACCCCAGACGACAGTTCCACCTGCTCCTCTGAGCCTGTCCAGACCCCCATCATCCACCACAGGAAACATCCCCTGAAGAAAATTATGAAGAAAACACTAAGCTTTGAGAGTCCACAGCTTGACAGTAGCCCCAGGGACTCCCACCGGCCAGGCCACACTGGGGTCTTCATCAAAGGCCTGGAGGTGACCAGCACCATGGCCTCGGAGAAGAAGCCCCCACTGAGGCCACGTGCCGAAAGCCCCCTAGTCACTCGGAACCGGAGCCTGTCCTCTCCCTCCAGGATCCACCCCTCTGAGGAGGATAGAAGGAGGCCAGCAGGAAGGTGAGGTGGACGCCCTGCAGCCTTAGGGCCTAGTGGTCAGTGGGAATCTAGAAATGCAAAGCCATTAAATTTGCTCTGCCAGACAGAAAGTCTGCAGACATCCCTCTAGCCTACCCTGTTCTGCCCAGGCCAGCCGGACTCGCGTTTGGCCTTAAGCAACATATTAGTTACCTCCTGTGTTCAGAACAGAGTCTTGAGAACTGCTTTCTTTTTCATGGCGTGTGGTTACCTGGCACACCCACTCTGATGGTTAACCAAGTCTAGTTACTTGAAGTCCATTTTTAGAAAATTGCAATAAGCAAATCAAGCCCACAATATGAAAAAAATTATGTTAAAAATTTCTTTTAAAAAGTCTCTAAGTGCTGTGGTAAGAAGTTTGTACCTATTTGTTTATTGCCCAAATGAAGATGGATGTACATTTTAATTTATTGATCTTTGAGATGTTTGTAAAATACTTTTTATTAATTGTTTAGATAAAGTGGCAAGAATTCCTCCCACCTCTAATGCCAGACAGTGACACTGGCTGGTGCCACAGCACTTCTGTGCTGTTTGCTGTTTTCATAGTGAGTGTTGCAGCCTGAGGTGGGGTGTCCTAGTTTATTTGCTGGTTTGTTGTCCTGTGTTTCCTCCTCATGCAGAACAGCTTTAATCTGAACTGAGATGGTTACAAAATACTCTTCTGAAACACACCTTTAAGTTTCAAAACCCAGGGCAGTTACAGTGTGCCTTGGTGAAGGTAAAGGTTTCATTTTTACAGTGGCGGGAGCAGCTGCGGTGTGTTTCCCTGCGGGCTGGAATCCGTGGGAAGGTGGCAGTGGGTAACGCGGGTTTGCAGGTGGCCTTCGAGCTCCACTATGCTTATGTAAAAAGTTTCAGAGCAGCAGAATGAAGGGGTGGAGCCATCTACTCAGAAGAGCTGCCCCTGGTCACCCAGAGTGGACATCCTGGGTCGGGAAGGGAGCAGGTTTGGAAAGCCATCCTGCCTTTGCCCCTGGAGATAGGTCTCCTCTCCCACCATTCTCAGGCCACAGACCCCACCACTCCAGGGTCTGGTAGTTAGGAGTCTACAGTCTACCAGAAAGGGAGCAAGTCCTCCTCAAACTCCAGGGCACCAGGGGTTGGGGGTGAGGGAGACCATTAAACCAAACCCATCTTTCCTGAAAACCTAAACCTGCTAGGTGTCCAGAGGGAGCTTCTGTCACCTGGTCAGCAGTCATTTTCCCAGAAATTTCTAGCTATTATGGCCTCATGAGTCAGTTTCCATTTAATTTGGTCCAAATCTCTAGACTACTCTCATTTTAATTTTGTTTCTGAGTATTTAAGGAGGACACTTCTTTTCTGTGAGTGTTGACGGGAGGTGATTCTCTGAGGCCCGTGCTATACAACAGGGGCACCTCGAGGCTGCCCAGCAGTAGGTGCTCCCGGCTGGCCACATGTGCTGTCTTCTTAGAAACAATAAGTATTTATAAAATCTGTTATGTGTGGGTGGGAGTGGAGAAAGTTGAGTTTTCCAGGCCTGCAGTAAGTGGAATGTAGTCAGGAACATTTCTGACCACTGGCATATTTTCATCATTATTTGCTTTTAATTTTTTTCCAAATTAAAAAAAAAGTTAAGACATTTAATGGCAGAAAAATTTTGCCAATCGCCATTAGTGTCATTAGGATTGAGTAATTTAAGAAAGTTGACAATAGGATGCTATCAAGTAGGGGAGAAAAGCAGTGTGCCTCGTTATTAGTGGGTGGGGCCCAGGTCACCAGCAGACCTCTTCTCCATGCCCTGATGAAGTACCTTCGGTGCAGTTGATTGGTGACACGTATGTGCTAGCATGCACACCAGAAGGAGCCCCAGGAGCCCTGGGCCAGTGGAAGGAGCTGTCTGCCCCTGCTGTTCATCTCCTCACGGTCCTGGGCCCCGAGGCCCTGCTCTGGTGTCTTCTGCTCCAGCTGCTTCTCCTCAGCCCCTGGGTCAGATGTCACTGCCATTTAAAGCTGTTTTGTTTTTTGTTTTTTGTTTTTTCAGAAATCTCTTCTGATAGGTTAGCAGTTGAGTTGCATCAGAAATCTCATAAATCTCTAGTACAGCCTTCCTTGCACAAGGCTCGCCACTGAGGGGCAAGTCTTATTGCTGCAGCCGCCCCCTGAAGCAGGCGCTAACCAGGCTGCCTGGAAATGAGAACCCGCAGGACTCAGCTTAGTCAGGGAGCCTGCGAATCTCTCCTTTCCAGTTTCCTGAAGGATTTTCATCTGCAGAGGCCATGATCAGTAACATGGAAACGTTTCATGTAACACACACCTCTCCCCTGTATCTCTTACCTTTTCCTACTCTATGCCAAGGGAGCAGCTCCAGGTGGCCAAGCGACTGGTGTGGGGCATTCTTGACGTTACTCACAGCTGAGGACGCACCGCAGCTGGAAAGGTTCTGTGCCGTGCGCCTCCCGTTGTGCACCCTCCTGCGTATCCCTCAGCCCCGCCCGCTCTCTGTCTTCCAGCAGCCGCCTGCAGCACATAATGGCCGAGATGATCTCCACGGAGAGGGAGTATGTTAGGTCCTTAGGATATGTCATCGACAACTATTTTCCAGAAATGGAAAGAGTGGACCTGCCTCAGGACCTGCGAGGGAAGCGCGGCATCATTTTTGGGAACTTGGAGAAGCTCTACGACTTCCACCAGCAGCACTTCCTCGTGGAGCTGGAGCACTGCCGGCACTGCCCCTTGGCCGTGGGACGCGGGTTTCTGCGACATGTAAGTCCCCCCACGCAGTGGGCAGAGATCGCCCTCAGAGCAGCGGGCTCTGGAGTGCCAGCCCACATTTTAGGCCATTGGGAGCCTACGCTCCAGGCTTAGGAAATGTGTCCTCCAGCAGCACATTAAGACCTGTCAATACACAGGCACCCAGAATAGACAGTGAGCCCATAGGTCCAACAGCACGGGACACTGTACTTCCAGTTCACCTGGTGGCACCCTCGTTGAGGGCCACATGGCGCTGGGGCTTCATCCACATCATCACACTTAATTCTGTCGACAGCCCCACTTCCTCAACACTCGAACCTCATCAGAACTCCCAAAACCAGTTCACTTCCTGCGCTGAGAAGCCCACCATCCCTTCACAGTCCTCCTGCCTGGGGCCCACCCAGCTCCCCTTCCAGACAGACCCCAGGATCAGCATGACCGGCTCTGAGAGAACCTGGTCGGGATGCATGGACTAACTTGAGGAGAGCTGCCAACTCTTGGCTAAGTCTCTTCTCAGCCATGAACGTGGAATATCTCTCTGTTGGAGTCTCTGATAAAATTCTTAATTCTCTCTGAAAAGATTCTTTGAACAAGTAGCTACTAGACACTGGGCACCCAAGTGGCTCTGTGCTGTGGGCAGATGACACCTTTGCCCTGGTGTTATTAAATATAAGTAACCACAAGAAAATACCGGGGATGACAGAAAGTCCACATGATGTCTTTTCGGCTCTTTTTGGAAGGGTGCTTTTAGCCATAAGGTGCAATTGGTATAATGTTTCATATTTGTGAGAATTTTAAATGTTTAGACCACTTCAGTTCTTGACCGTTAACAAAAATTCCAGTACTCCCATGGCCCTCTCCAGCCCACCCTGAGTGCTCCTTGCACCTCTTCCCCCAAACACTGTACTTAAGACCCACCCAGAACCCTGGCATTGCCCCCAGGAGCACCCACGGTGCTGGGGAGCCGAGGTGGCCCTAATGCAGCTCTGTGTTTTTTTCTCATAACCGTGTTGGGAACGGCGCTCCCGGGCTGGGGCCCGCACTCAGGCGCATCATGCCCTCCCCTTTGCAGGAAGAACAGTTTGGCATGTACGCGCTCTACAGCAAGAACAAGCCCCAGTCGGACGCCCTGCTCTGCAGCCATGGCCACGCCTTCTTCAAGGTCATCCCCCAGCCCGCCAGCCTGCCACACCGCCCCTGGCCTGACCTAAACTGACCCTGTCCCCTGGCCCTTGCAGGACAAGCAACAGGCCCTGGGTGACAAGATGGACCTGGCCTCCTACCTGCTGAAGCCCGTGCAGCGCATGGGCAAGTACGCACTGCTGCTCCAGGACTTGGTCAAGGAGGCCGAACACTGCCCTGCCCACGAGCAGGAGCTGGGTGAGGTGAAGGCCGCAGAAGACATGGTCCGCTTCCAGCTGCGCCACGGCAACGATCTGCTGGCCATGGATGCTGTCCGCGGCTGTGATGTAAGTACCCCAAGGCCCCAGCAGGCTCTCGTGGTTCAGGGCTTCGGGTCGATCAAGGAGAAGGACATGTCTGGGATCAGGAGCACAGAACTTTTCTTTAGGGATGTCCCTGAAGCTTAGATCTTCCAGAGGCCCCCACCCAAGGGAGAAACGGGAGCAGAGAAGAACTCAGTGCCCTGCTTTAGAGCAGCAGCTGTAGGGTGTGAGATGAGGTGGGCTCTAGATGCTACACATCTGCTTACTGGGGATATTTTAAAACAACTGGACGCATGAAAATTGAGTGGGGCCATTGGGCTTGGGGCCTGGCCTGCCCATTTACAAGCTGGTCTCTACTGGGGGACCAAGGCTGGCATCCACATCCCCCACACTGTGGAATGGCAGAACAACATGGGCAGGAAGAGGAGACTCCCACTCAGGCAGGACCCCTTGTCTCTGATTGTCAGGCAGATGGCTATGGAATTTCCAGATCACAGTGAAAATGTGGGTGCCTTGCTAAGAGCAGCATTACAACCCATGAACACAGACAATAGTGTGGTGAAGGCCTGAGGACGGGGGTGGGAGTCAGGAGGAGGGGATCAATGGGGGAAAAAGGTGACATCTGTAATACTTTCAACAATAAAGATAAATAAATAAAAAGAGTTTCAAGAGGACAGCAAAGCAGCAAACCACAGGGTTATCACCAAGGACCCACAGCCCCTCAGACTCTCCCAGTGAGGTTAGCTGAGTGATTGGGATGACTGGGATCCACCCAGCATTCTCGGGCATCACCAGAACAGTGCTGTGCATGGAGGGAAGGTGGTGTTTCTGTCTTTCGGGATCCATCCACAAAGACCACTAGTCTGGCTGGGGCATGGCAAGTACATCCCCGAGTATCTGCCCAAGTCCCAGCTCAGAGGGATTTCCGTGGTGTGAGATGGCTCAGGTGTGGAATTCATAATGTTACTCTTGGGGCTGCCACATTGGGCGTTTATACACAGTGAATGAAATTTTGGCACTTCAACAAGGGGGTTTCCATTAAAATGAGCATAAGGGATGCCCTGGCCAGTGTGGCTAAGTTGGTTGAGTGTTGTCTGGTGCATCAAGAGGTTGCCGGTACTATTCTCAGTCAGGGCACATACGTGGGTTGCAGGCTTGATCCCTAGAAGGGGGTGTCCCCAGTAGGGGGCGTGCAGAAGGCAGCCAATCGATGTTTCTCTCTCACATCTGTGTTTCTCTTTCCCTCCCTCGCCCTTCCTCTCTTTTTAAAATCAATAAAAACTTTTTTTTTTTTAATGAACAAAGGGTTTTGAAGTGGGAAGTTTAGTAAAATTGAAGACAGGCTTTTACTGTAACATCCATACAGATGAGCAGGAATATGGGCATGAGGGAACCCCACCCTGAGGGTTCTGCACCCAGTTCCAGTGTAAGGGTTTTCCCCACACATCCCAGCAATTCTCGGACACTGGCTGGGTATCCTGCAATTTAACTCACTTCTGAAACCATCTACGCTTCAATGATGTCAGACCCCACAGGCTAAGGGCTCAGTCCCATAACACTCCTCCCCACTTCAGATGCCAATCACAAGTCCAGGTTGTCACCTGTTCTTCTGACCAACCAGCTATAGATGGGAGGTTCCCGAGACCCCTTCCTGGGTCCCATTAATTTGCTAGAGCAGCTCACAGAACTCAGGGAAACATCTCACTTACTGGATCACCAGTTTATTATAAAGAATACAATTCAGGAACAAGACGGAAGAGATGCACAGGGCAAGGTGTGGGGAAAGGGTATTTAGTGCCCCCGCATCTTCATGTGCTCACCAACAGGAGCTCTGCAAACCTGTCTTCTTGGGATTTTGTGGAGACCTCATTACATAGGTGTGATTGATGGGATCATTGGCCTTTGGTGTTGGCTCAGCCTCCAGCCCCTCCCCCCTCCAGAGGTCAAGATGGGATCAGATCAAACCCAGTGGTCCCTGAGGGAGGCTTGCTCCATCCACAGGTGAATTTGAAGGAGCAGGGGCAGCTGAGATGCCGGGATGAGTTCATCGTTTGCTGTGGAAGAAAGAAATATCTGAGGCACGTCTTCCTTTTCGAAGACCTCATCCTGTTTAGCAAGACCAGAAAGGTGGACGGAGGCTACGACATCTACACATACAAGCAATCCTTCAAGGTAATGCGCCCGCCTCGCACCTCATGCTGCTGGCATCAGGCTGGTCCTTGCTGGTCTTCATGGTATTTGTTTTTTTCCTGTGGTTCTTTGGCTGAATTTTGAAAACCTCAGACCCCAAAACTTCAAGGCTTTCCGTGTGCTGGTTCAGTGGCTGGAAAACAGTGTCTCCTCAGTCAGTCACTTCATTATGGATTTTGATAAAAGTGAACACCAAAGAGGCCCTCCCCTCAGTGGGTCAAAGAAAGCTCTTAGGATAAAGAGCTTTTGGGGCTCCTGGGAGGAGCCCACACCCATAATCCCTTACCTGCCAGCACGGAGGAACATGTCAGAGGTGTGACAGTTGTGTGACCCCACTCAGTGTGTGACAGCCAGAGGGCACCACAGAACCTTCCAATCCAGCCCTATTTCTCTAGAGGGGAAACTGAAGCCCTGAGAGGGAGCCAGTGTGGATGGGATGAAAACTTGATCCATTCTGTCCCGCACTAGCCCCCTGCCCGGCCTCATCCACACCATTTGGTATCTGGGCCTCCAGCACTGAGGCACTGGGGTCAAAGTGTCAGCCCAAAAGTGGTCAGTTGTTCAGAGAGTGTCTCTGAGGTTCCTCCCATGCTGTGATTGCAGATGGCTGAAATCGGTTTGACAGAATCCGTCGGGGACAGTGGTGTGAAGTTTGAGATCTGGTTCCGCAGGCGGCGGAAATCCCAGGACTCCTTCATTCTCCAGGCGAGCTCTCCAGAAGTCAAGACCATGTGGACTGACATGATTGGGAAGATCCTGTGGCGGCAGGCTCTGAGGAACAGAGGTGGGTGAGAGAGGGTGTGAGGCGAGCTCCCTGGCAGGGTGCCCATCCCAGAGGCCCAGACCTGGTGGCCCTTGGGAGGCCCTCAGTCAGCACCATTTACCAGGATCCGTCCCATTGGCACACAAACACATATTTCTCCTTAAAATAAGTATAAACAAGACCCCTGCCCCCGCTCTGCAGCCCCTCCAGAGAGGGCTCATGGTCAGGCTTCTCAACTCCTTAGGCCCATGGGGGTCAGCTGTCTGCCCTGCCCTGTTTGTTAGGTCCTTCCAACTGACTGGATGCTGGGCTGATGGTCAGCTTGTGGTCTCCTTGCCCGTGAGGGCCCCTCCTCGATAAGACACCTTTTCCCTTCTGCTGCCCCCCCTCCAGGTTTCTTCTTCCTCAATGTCACCCCTTTGGTCCCTCCTCTGCCCTGATTTAGTCACTAGGGCACCTCTGTCTACACTCTCAAGTGGCTATTCATCCAGTCTGGCCACTGTAAATGCCATCTTCATAGTGACCTTTAACCTGGCCCTCCTATCCCAGCTCTGACCCACAGACCTAGGGAACCCTAAGGGCTCTAACGTCAAAATGGCTAACACAACCACCTGTCCCCTCAGTGGCTGTACCCTGGCCAGAGCCTTAACCTATCACAGAGATGCCCCACATCCCCCTACGGCCGCCTCCTTCAAAGCATAGACCACACCTGCACACATGTATACACACATGTGCACATGTGCACATGCACACACATGTATGTGCTCACACACATGCACATGTACACGTGCTCATGCTGCACAAGGCAGCTCTGCTCAGGGTGCCTAGTGCCTCCTCGATCCCCTGGAGTGGATCAAGTGTAATTATTGTCTTTCTTTTTTTTAGTTTTACCAAGAATTCATTCATTCTTAGACTCTCACCCTATGCTTAGATCTCCTCTCAGTATTCAAAGACACACAAATACCTGTCAGTGTGTCCTCATGGCTCTGTGCCTCCTGGAGGCCTCTGTCACCTCATGTTCTCTGAGGGCACCCAGCCCACATGCATGTGCCAGACTGGGAGCCCCAGCACCTTGGCCCCCCAGCATCACCCTGGGGAGCAGGGCCTGGCCCTGACATGCTCCTGGTCTGGACTGACAGTGTTGGGTGCAGAGCACAGTCAAGGGTGGTATTAAACCCAGGGAGTTACCTGAAAGCATGTCATGTCCTACATTCTTTTATTTCAGAACTCAGAATGCAAGAAATGGTGTCTATGGGATTAAGCAGCAAACTGTTCCTGGACATTAAGCCCAGCGACGCAGCGATAAGTGACCGGGCTGTCAAGTACCACATGAACAGAACAGGTAAGGTGGCCACAGCCCTCACCCCACTCTGCTCTGCCAACTAGAATCCAGGCCCCAGAGCTCCAGGGGCAGCTCTTAGCGCAGTGGGCTGACCACAGGCAGAGGGACCTGGTCTGTCTTCCTAAGGGGCCCTGTCTGGTTCTTACGTCTAGGCTGCACTTCTGAAGCAGAGCCCAGACTGACTTACTTTCTGCCTCCTTCCAGAGTCAAGAACCCAAGCACCCATAGCTGTGCCCTCCCGTAACCACAGCACCCCCTTCAAGAGACCACACTCCACCATCTCAGACAGCAGCACCTCCTCCTCCAGCAGCCAGTCCTCTGCTGCCCTGCATGTGTCCTCCAGCCAAGCCCACTGGCCCTCGCCATACGATGTCCACGCCTGCATCAAGGAGGACGAGCCGGAGCAGGAGACGGGGAGCCAGCCTCCGCTACGTGAGTGCACTTATGCTCTGTGGCTGCCTGCGCTCCAGCCTCTGCTGGCTGATGTGGGTGGGGCCAGTGTATGTGTTTATTTGTTTCGCTTGATCTTATATACTTCCAATGTTCTCAAACAAATTAGAATTTTTCTTTTATTTAAAGAAAACTTTCCCTTCCACCCAAGATGAAGTAACGGAATAGATTTAAAACAAACAGCAACAACAACAACAAAACAGACAAAACTAAACCAGATGAAATATATAAAATGAGAGATTTCAAAACACAGGGTATCTGACAACACAGGATAGTGACCCTGAGAGGCGGGAAGATGATGTGAGCCCTGGGACTGCCCTGGTTTCTGCCTTGGGAGCCCCAGGACATGGTGCAGCAGACTCCCCACATGGAGGAAACCAAGGTGGCAGGGGTTTGCAGGACAGAATAGGAGAGACCTATGCAGTGAGAGACCTTAGGAGTCTGACAGATGGGTCCCCTCCAGAATCCAGCAAAGTAGCCGTCAGCACAGCACATGAGGAGGCCCTAAAGCTGGGGAATCTGTGAAAGGACTAGAGAACACGGGCCCTTATTCCCACCAGCCAGATGGGATACTCATGGTTTGCAGGGTGCAGGGTGAGTCCTTGGAAGGTTCCACCTCAGGAGGAGGGAGCATTCGACTGAATAATGCCCCTGACCCACCCACCAGATCACAAAGCAAGACCCAAGAGGATCAGTTTCCAGGTAATTTACCTACAACCCAGAACAAAGCTTATGGAGATTTATAGAATCACAGAAGTATCCAGCACCCAGTAAGGTCAGTTCACATTGTGTGACATCTAGTCAGAACAACAGGCAAGCAAAGAAGTAGAAAACAGCCCAGCCAGCATGGCTCAGCAGTTGAGCATCAACCTATGATCCAGGAGACTGCTGTTCAATTCCCAGTCAGGGCACATACCCAGTTTGCTGCTCAATCCCCAGTAGGGGGCATTCAGGAGGCAGCCGATCAATGACTCTCTCTCATCATTGATGACTCTATCTCTCCTTCTGCCTTCCCCTCTCTGAAATCAATAAGATATTTTTTTAAAAAAGTAGAAAACATAAATTGAAATGAAAATAATCAAGTAGAACCAGCCTGAAGCTGATGTGGATGTTAGAATTGTCCGTCGCTGCCTTCAAGCCATTGTTATAACTGTTCCTGACGTTTAAAAGTTAAGCAATGACGTGGAAGATGTGAAAACATCGAGACTGAACATAGAGGCACAAAAACTGCAATATCTGAGATGAAAACGACACCGGATGGGGTGACAGAAGAACATGTTAGTGAATTTGAAGACACGTCAGTAGAAAGTATCCAAAATGAAACACAGAATCAGAGAGGAGGAGGCGCTCATCACTGACATTTTATACTGTTTGTGAACTGAGGAATATCACTCAAAGGTAAATTGTGACCTGTTAGATTGCAAACTCCAAAACAACCACTGAAATAAAACAAAGAGACACAGCTTATACACCAACAAAGAAAACAAAATGAAATTGTAAGAAAAAAGTCCAAAGAATGTAGAGAAAGTGGAAGAGAGAACAAAGAACACAGGGCTGACCAGTCAGCAGTGGATCCAGTGCTCACCGTGTCAGTGACACACTGAACATAACGGCACCTGCAGCTCTTGGTGAACGATGCACATGTTCTCTCTGGCTGATAAGTACACATGTGTAACCTCATGTAGTGTATACACATGTCCAAAGTTGTCCATTTGTACCTTAGAGGTATGAAGTTTATTGTGTCACTTACGTCCCCATAAAGCAGTATTTCGCACACACTTCCTCATGGAGGAAGGGATGTGTCAGTGGAATTCACCGTGGTTGGTTATCTCAGCATCCTGCGTGTGGTGTGAGGACCACAGGTTTTAGGTCTCCTCAGATCACAGATGTCTCAAAGAAACTCATCCCTCAGCACAGATGCAGTCCATCCTTGGGCCACACTGCCTGAGAAAGCTTCCTCCCAAACTCAAAATGTGTCATTGCCAACAGGTCAACATCTGAGGGCTTTGCAAATGACACCAAGGTATCTCTGTGCCTGATTGAAGGCTTTGCACATGAAACCTGCCAGTGATCCCAGGTGGCCAGGTGCTGCACACCTGATCAGAATAGGCAGTAGCCACCGCAGGGCGGGCCACTGGAGCACAATGGGGACTTGTGGCATTGTCCGCCCAGAGCAACTTACTCCCAGGATACATACTTTTGGCTACAGGACCACAGGTAGCGGGCATCTAGGCTGACCCAGCCTCCAGTCAGGGCTGAGTCTGGAGGCCGGGAGCCCAGTGTGAGGACAAGGTGGAAGTGCCTGTGTTCAGGGCTCAGCTTGGCCATCCTCAGCTTGGTGCCCAAACAGCACTTGAGATCCTGCAGAGAAGCTTGGGAAAGCCACTGTCCACCCACGTGGGAGGTTGAGACTAGGCCCAAGCAGTGTCCTAGAACACAGGTCCCAGTTGTGGGAGCGACCCTGGGCCTGGACCCAGTGGCTTCCGCTAAGTCTAGGTCTGGGTAAATATAGGTGGGCCCAACAGTCCTTCAAGGGAGATGGGGCAGGGAGGTGGAAGAGGGGAGGTTAGGCCTCATTTGTCCTGTTTTGGTTCCTTGTTTAAGGCTCGAGGCCCATCTTCAGTCTCAGTTTCTGCTTCCCCTTTGACTTGCATGTCCAGTGGTCACAGAGCCGCCCACCATGAGCTAGAGGCCTTCTGCTGGTGGAGAGGTTGCCTGGGCGCCTTCTACCCTGGTCTATTGGCTACACTGGCTCTACTCTGGTTTCAGAAAAGTAGGTCCAGAAACACTTGTCCATGAACCTACATGGTGTCTACCTTTCAGCCACTCCATCTTACTCTGACCCAGCCTCACAGGCTGTTAGAAATTTGCACTTGGAGCAGAAAACACCTAGCTTTTGATTGACAGGTTCCAGAGCCCCTGAGCGTGGGAGGTGGAGGGGGTCAGCCCTCACCCTGATAGACCAGCCCTAACTCTGCTCCCCTCCACAGGGTCCGAGAGCTTGGAGTCTTCCCAGTGCATGTCAGGGGAGAGCAGCCCTGGCCAACCCGGGCTGTCACAGCCCCTCACCCCGGAACTGTTCTCCGATAAGGGCCCCCAGAGCACATCTTCCACCCTTCCCCTGAGGGAACTACAGCCACAGCTTGATGGAGATCAGTTCACCACGACCGTGAGTGCCCCCTCTTCTGAGACTTCCACATGAGAGGCCCAGGTGCTTAGGGGGTAGTCAGTACCTGCCCAAGTGATGCTGGGCTGCCTGGGACCACACAGAGACACCCCCCCCCAGCTCTGAGGGGTCATTCTGCATATGAATCTGCTCCCCACCCACACCCCAGCACTGCACACTGGCCAGGTTGGCTCAAAACCAGAGGCCTGGCTCCATCACCAGGCACTTCCAAGTCACTTAGCAGTACTTAGCGAGGGTGATTTTAGGGCCTCTTCACTGTCTAGATTTTGCCGGCCACCTGGAGACCTAACCTGTACCATCTGGCATTCACTGGTCCCAGGCTCAGTGGCGCCCCCACTCAAGGCCCTCACAGTCCTGGTGAAGGAGGGCTGATGGTCAACAGAGGCGGTTTCCAAACAGCCTGGCGAGGAGCAAGCTGGAATCAGAGAATGCAGGGTCAAGGGTCAGGGGCTCTGCCTGGAGTCCAGCCCTCCTGGGACTCTCACAGGATCCCCAGTCCTGCCCTTCTGATGGCATCACATACCTGGCAAATCAGTGTTTCCCCAAATTGATGCAAACGTGTGTTTTTACCTTCATAGGGTGTCTGGGGCCCAGCCTGTAATGGAGGAGGCCCCATACATTGCCCTGGATGTGCACTCAGAGACATCATCCCTGATAGGGAGGGACTGAAGTGGCCCAGAAGAGCGGCCAGACAGGAAAGAAGATCTCTTTCCAAGAGACCTTCTCCTCAGGATATGGCTGGGTCTGTGGGCTCAGCAGCCTTTGCCCAGCCCAGATCATAAACATGACTCTGCAAGCACATGTCCAGTTCTGGGGATGTGCCCTCAGACCACCTCCTGGCAGCATTAGAAGGGAAGGTCCGATTTTAAGGGCGTGCTGAGCCGAGAGCTGGGGAAACAGGTCTTTTGTTCCTATGCCCTAGATCACTCGTGATGACCAGTGATGCTGGTTCTGTAGTGACTTCCCTCCTCTTCTTTCAGAACAAAACCCCTCATGTCTTAGGCTTCTGGACAGCAGTTTGAGTCGCAAGCAAAACACCCCGTAAGTATTGGGCTTTCTCAGCTTCCCCAGTGTACCAGGGGTTCCCTTGCCCACTGTAATCCCTAAGGCGCCGGACACACCACCACCACCCAGGCTGCCTGACCGTGTCTCTGCCTGTTGCAGATGCTTCCGCCTGTTGCAAATCGTGATTGCACAGCCAGACGTTGACAGCACTGCGCAAGGGGCGCATTGGCCAAGCAGGGCTGCTCCCCTGCTCCTTCATCTCCCTGACTAACCTCCTGGTAACCGGCATATTCAGGAGTCCAGCATCAGCTATTTCTGAGAGCTCAGGCCTTTTTCCAACAGGAGGGCCAGGCCCCTCAGCCCCTGGTGCAGATAGTCACTCCCCAGAGGCCCAGCCAAGGCAGTGGACACCACCCACCCACTTCTGCCTCTGGGGTGCCCTATCAGGAGTTCAAGGAGACCTGGTACCCTCTCCTTCTGAGAACGGCGCTCCCTGATATCTAGTCCCACCTGCCCATGCCCTATGGCTGGAGCTCGGCCAGTGGTTGTCTTCAGACAAGGCTGTGTCATGGCCAGGGCTGTCACNGGAGCTCGGCCAGTGGTTGTGTTCAGACAAGGCTGTGTCATGGCTAGGGCTGTCAGTCTGTCCAATACTCTGTGCAGGAATTCCCATGCACACACTGAATCCAAGTCGCAGCAGGCACATGGTGTTGCATGGGGCACCACTGCCCTGGGTGGGAGCCACAGTCCACTTGTCAGGGTGAGGCCTCAGTGGCAGGTTCCTTGGGTGTGAGGCCAGTTCCTCTACTGAGATCTCAAGGCCTTGACATTCTTGATGAGTAGTGGGAGAGGTACAAAGGAGACATCTGGGCCTGAGTTCCATGCTCAGACCCCAGAGAAGAACCCCCAGCCCACCCACTCCCACCATCCCCACTGCCTTCTATAGCCTCCCTGCACTGCCTGCCTTCAGTGCGTGTGTAGGTCCCAGAGCTGATTACAAGTCTACAAGTACATGTGACTCCCTTGTGCCTGTAAAATAGACTGTTTTCCACCAGCCACATTGTGTAATCATCTAAGTGATTTCAGTTCACATGAGCGGCTGCTGGTGAGATACACACACACTCGCACACACGTTCCAGGATCAGAATGTCAAGTGCAGACCAGGCACACTTCAGGGCCAAACTCTTTTCACCCATGGAAGCCCTGTGGTGCCAGCTGAGGTCTGCCAGTGGCCACTCCTGTCCAGGCCCAGACCTGCCAGCTCACAGACTAGCATTGCACCTGCCACAAGAGAAGTCAGCCTCACAGAGGCTCTTGTTTATGGTGCCCTGTCCTTGTCCTTTCCTGGCCCCAAGTGCTACTTTAAAAAGGATGTGTGTCCACAAGCCAAGAGTGCCTTTTGGGGTGAGAACCCCTACAGAGTCTCACAGATAAGACTCTGTGCTATGACAGACCTGGGGGCTGAGGGGACAGTGGGAGGAGGCCAGGAGATATAATAGGGCCATTCTTTTGACAGCTGTGAGACCTGGATGAGATGTGGCTCCTCCAGGGAGAACCCCAGGGAGAGCTCAGAGGAACCTCACCCCAGTCCTGTGCATAAGGTCTGGGGATGAAACACTCAAGCTGGGGTCTCCTGACACACCCGGCCCCCAGCCATGGGATACTGGGTCACATGCGCCTTGGGGCCTGAAGTCATTTCCATCATTCCCCCCACCCCCTGGCCATGCCCAGGCCTCCCCTTTGTCCTTCCTGTATGGCTCCTCTACCTCCATCCAACACGGACACCCTGTGCTGCCCAGCCTCTTCCACCATGGTGGGAGCACACAGGCCCCCATTCCTGTGCAGAGGCCCAGACATGTGGGCACCTCAGAGCAGGGTGAGCCCTCTGGGACTGTGTTTCCCCACCTTCCAGGCAACTCAGGCCATGGGTGACAGTGAGCCTGGGCTGAGGCTACACCCTGCTTCCCAGGTAGGCACCAGGGTGGGGCAGGGGCACAGCAGTTGGGCCTGAAGCTCTAAGGAGCCAGTGCTGGAGGTCCTGTCCAAGTGTGGACATTGCCCAAGAGGACCACCCTCACCAGAGGAGTTGAATCAGAAGCAGAGAGAGCCCAGGAGACACCAGGCCTATAATGAGCTTCCTGCCACAGGCATCTACCCCCCACCACCACCACCACCACATGGACCACCCAGACCAGGAGTNAGCAGAGAGAGCCCAGGAGACACCAGGCCTATAATGAGCTTCCTGCCACAGGCATCTACTCCCCCCCCCCACCACCACCACCACATGGACCACCCAGACCAGGAGTAGTCGTGGCAGGAGCCACACCTCTGTGATTTGCCAGCTGTGCACTGTTTTGTTAATTTTTCAGTGCTGACTTGTTCCAAACTTTAGGAACAGAAATAAATGGGATGCGTTTCTACCACGTGGTTGCACGTCTCTACAAGGTCTGTTGTGTCCAAGGACATCTGTATATGTCACCTACATCACCAGGGAGCCCACCTCTTGAGACTTGAAGGGACATGGCAAAGACAGCAGGGCCTCACTCTGGGGTACACATCCACCTCAAACACCTTCTGATAGTGTCAGGTTAAGTCCCACTGCCTCACACACCCCTCCCCTGCCTGACTCTAGTGGGTTCTACCCTGGGAGCTGAGGCCTTCCCATCTGTCCCCCAACTGGGGGAGGCGCAGTGAGGCTCAGAGGGGACAGCTATCTTACAGGACCCTGAGAGAGGGTCCACACCCCACACACACGCACTCACACGCACCACAGCGTGTCCCTTCCTTTCCTCCTCCTGCCTTTCTCTGCCTCTCCCCCTCCTTCTCTTGCTCTTTCTCTCTCTCTCTCCTCATCTTTCTCTGTGTGTGTGTGTGTGTGTGTTTCTGTATCTGTCCCAGCTGTGACCCTCCCAGACCAGTGCTTGTCCAGGGCTGTGTGCTCCAGCCCTGTCCCAAATGATGGTGGGGTGTGTGTGTGTGTTCAGGTGTGTGTTGGGGGGAAGGGGTTCGTCATTTAATAATCACTTAACAGCCATTAACAGCCCAGGCTCTGTAGAGAGGAAATATTTCTCCACCCATTTTAGTAACAAAAGACAGATTAACAGGAGAAAAGCAAGCAGATTTATCTAACATATATTTTAGGTGACATGGAGCTGTCACAGGAAATGAAGCCCCAAAGTGGAAAAGCCCAAGCATTTCCCTACTAAGCTGAGTAGAGAGGCAGTGGTGGCAAAGCAAAGGAAGACGAATTACTTAGTGAGGCCTGTTTGCTCAGGATTCCCTGGCCTGGCCCG